TGGGGCTCTGTAAATCTAGGTTTTTCACTAAAACACATAGCTCAAAACTAGCAACCACAATTGATTTTGAAGGCTTTTGTTAGATTTAGGCTATGCATCTGTTTGGAAAAAAGAATCATAAGTTATGGTTCTTTTTTTTGGAACTATAACTTTTTTTGGAATCATAACTTTTTTGTTTGGAATATTTGGGAATCATAACTTTTTGGTAGCCAGTGCAGCCAGTTGTGATTCCTTTTTTTTGGAACTATAACTTTTTTGGGAATCATAACTTTTTGGTAGCCAGTGCTGCCAGTTATGGTTCTTTTTTTGAAACTATAACACTGTTTTGGAATCAAAACTTTTAGGTGGGCTGTGTCACCAGTTATGCTTCTTTTTGTGGGAAACTATAACATGTTTAAGAATCATAACTTTTGGGTGGGCACTGTCCGCAGTTATGATTGCTTTGTGTGGAAAGCAAGGGCGATTGACAGAATCTTGACCAGACATAAATCTGTGGATGTTCGTCAGATTCACACACTTGATGTTTGGATAGTCGTTGGCTCGGCGCGGTTGGCGTCCCTTTTTATATTGAACCTGGTGGCAGCATGACGTGTGCGTTCACATACATAATGTGTGTGTGTTTGTTTGCGTGTCTTTGTGGTTATCTTAAAACTTAAACCTGTCGCACACATTCTTAATTTTGGCCTACTTGTCAAACTGAGAGTGGCCGTTAATAAAAGTTGAGCCATATGGAAGCTCTGGAAGCACCCATGCACCCTGCGACATAAAACCAAGACACGAGGATTGCACTGAAGCAGGAATTGGGATTGATTATGGTGTTTGTTTTAAGTTCAACCATCTTAAAAGTTATGATTCTTTTTTGAACTGAACCGCCTTGACTTGCGAAATTTGACACCTCTCGTGCCCGGTCTCGCACGACAACATGCACTGTCCTTAAGAAATTGACAGGTTCTTGGAACCCAGCAGATCTCCTTCGGCAGGTCGACGCCGTGCGTCATTTTCCTCCAACATTCCGGAGACCAGATATTATGAACCCACGGCCAAAAAGAGAGCTACTTCACGAGCGCGCGAAGTGATGAAAGACGCCGCCGATGCCAGAAAGCAACACTCGACTATCACCAGCGGCCTGCATCAATGATGCGCAAGACATGTGAGAAGGAAGAAGCTAAGAAGTCCTCTTCTTGCGCCGCTCATGTGCTCATGGAACCTGCCTTGATTGCTTCCACGACAAGTCAAACCAATGCCAGTGCAACCTCATTGTTCCTAGACTCAACGATTCCAGACGCCAACATTCCGGCGCCACAGGGCGAAGATGAACGGGAGGACATTGTCGATTTCACAACACCTTTTGCTCCCGAATCTGAAGGATGGCAACCCCTGGACAGAATGGCTGCCCGCCGCAGACGACTGAGACAGATGAAAGATTTGGTAAGCCGCGATCTACTGGCTTTGCAGCCGTGGACCGTATCATTTTAGAGGGCGCAGGTAAATATCACTACTCTAATAATCCGACTTACCACGCGAATGAGGTGCCATCCGTTGTTGAGCACTGGAACAACCAGAGTGAGGTCGCCCCATATCCTATTGTCCGACCTAGCTGCTTCTACGACCAATCCCGCCAATATTCCGGCGAGGAGATGCGTCAGATAGTCGACCTGAGCCAAAGCCACATGGCTGGCTATCGCGCTAACCAAGGCGACTTTAATCTGGAGGACGCGAAACTGCTTCGTTCGACCGAGCATGTTTCTGTTGCGCTGTTGAATCTGAACCATCCTCCTCATTTTAACAGGAAGCAGCAATCGCCCCGAGACCTCCAGGAAAGCGACCAATATTTGTTCTTGCCTCATTATTTGGCTCGCAATGCCCATGTTACGATTCTCCTTGAAGCGGGCGGCCTGGAGAGACACAGCGATCTTTTCCATCAGTACAATAAGATGTGTCTTGTTGCCCTGCCGGACGGCCAAGCACATCCGAACGCTTGTGTGCGCCCATCGGACGACATTGCGTCCAGGCTTGAGCTTTTGCGCCGCGTCCAACTGGATTCTGAACGCCTTAATTGGCTTATGCGCGCGACTACTTTTAGAATTATTTGGGGCCAGGTCGATGAGGAAACCCATGGGGGCATCACGACCAATAAAGGCGTCCGCGCAAATCTTCGCGAAGCACTTGAAGACGGCGAAGATCCGGCCGAGAATATGATAGTAATCGTTTGCCCTGATACACTGGCCACAGCCCAAGCAACAACCAAGTTCTTCCAGGCAGAGCCAGTTGATGCAGAGTGCCTACACCACGAAAGTCCGACATTCCGGACTGCTGCAAACGATGTCACCTCCCTGAGTTAAGAATTTGCACCTTCCATATTGAGCTCCTCCGCATTTGCGGACTGCATTACGGCAGGGAAGAGCCCACTCACCAAGGTTTTGGCGACGGCCGCTGCGGACCAGGTGGACGTCATAGTTTGTGACGCGAACCTCTTCAGGCAATTCAAGCAGGATCGACATTCCGATCCGGTGACAGGCTCCGTCCTCACCATTTTAGACCAGATCCTAGCGTTTGCGAATAAGTTGCGTGAACCTCACCAGCGTGTTGCTTACAATTTTGAGGTCTCTACTCTTACAGAGAGACTTGCAGCGCTAGCAGGACAGGATGCCGATGTAGACTGCCTTATGCAGATTGCATTGAATTATGGCAAAGATATGTACACGCTAGTGAAGAGGACATCCGACTTTCCGGATTACAAAGGCCGCATTGGATACGACGGACCTCCGCGTCAAAAAGAAACCCTCATTACGGCCAATGAGTACCTGAAACACTTGAATCATTTAGATCTTTGCTTGCGCAGCAGCGACCATGATCTTCAGCACCCGTTTCAGTGTACTTCCAACTCGCTGCAAGATCCAGTCCGAGGTGCAGGTGAAGCATCCGCACAATACCGAAAAGAGAAGGACAAAGAACGGTCCCAGCGGAGACGGCAAGAACGATGGCAGTCCACTTCGTGGCAGTCCTCAGCTTCTTCTTCCTCCTGGCATCAGTCCAACTGGGACACTGGATACAGAGGGTACAATAGAAGATGGTAAATGACGTCCAGAATTGTCAACATTCCGGCAATTGAAGCATAGAGAGTTGCAATAGATTAGGCTTGAACAGATTTCAAAAACTCCTTACAGCATTTGAACTTGAATAGATTTTGAAGATTTCTTACAGCAGATGAAAAGATTCCGACATTACGGAGACTTCACAACCTGATACAATGCATTCGATTAGAATTGTACAGGTTCGAAAGACTCTACTTTTTGCATTAGAACTTTAGACGGTCTGAGTCTGACGTTAAGATTTAAGGTATGGGCCATGGGCCAGAATGGCATCTACGGTCAAGTTCTGCGATGCCAGAACTTTTGTAATTCATACGCACTCTTTTGTAGTTTTGCAGCCGTAAGCTCCGACGCGAAGAAAATTTGTGTCTGTTTGTGTTTTGTAGGGTCCTAGGTCCGCCTAGGCGTGTCTACGCTATACTTGCGTAGCACCTGTTGTCCGTAGTTACTTGTACATACTTTCTCTTCAGTCAGCTGCCGCTTAATTTATTTGGTTCAAGACTTTGAAGCCCAATACTGCACTCCGTGCCATAGAAAAGTGTGTTCGCCGTCGCTCGCACACTGACCATACAACAGAGATACAAGAGAGGGTCTTACTTGGTGTTATCGATCAGGTCCAGTGTACTTCACTGCCACTTTGGGGAACTTACGCCTCAACTTGAAGTGGATTACCTCGATGGCTCGCTGGTTATTTGGTGTTGAGCACTCTAAGCTTGGGCCAGTGCTTGGGTCCATGAAGAGACATGACATGTTGTTTTAGTGCTTCTTGTCGTTGAGGATTTATCATATGACTAAATATATATATATATATATATCTCTTGTTTAAATAAATATATTAAATATGTATATATCTCAAACTTTGGTCTTTTCCACCAGTTTCAAGTTGACGTTTGACTCGACCCCACCAACACCACACTACATATTTTACTTGTTTCTATTCTCCTCCCGCTGTCCTACCTTTCGTGTATCCCTCTTCTCAAGTATATATATATATACATATATGTGTGTGCGTGTGTGTGTTTTATCATTGAATGATGTGATCAGGGCATGGTGGGAACCCACCGTTGTAGTTTGATGCATAGGAGCCGTTCTGGAGCCTGGACACCTATGGAATCAGCAGAGCTCAGCTATTTCCTTCTCCTGAGGATGTGGGAATCAAGAATGGGTCTTCAAAAGTGAAAACTACACCCAACCAATGGTGCTCCTGCCCGGGTAGACCATCCGTTTGGGATTGCCCAGTTTATGGGACATACGAATGATTCATATGTGGACTGGCAATGAAGGACAAAGTTAGGCGACACAGGTTGATGTTCCTCATGGGTTTTTACACTGCGCACTGCGTGCCTCTTTGGACCCCATGTGAGACCGCTAAAGGAGTACAACAACATCGAGCGCATGCTTCTTTATGCCATGCAGACTGCACCTGTACCACCAGGTTTCCGCCAACATGCTCAGGACGGGTTTTAGTTTAAGATACATTACTGCAACTAATCATGTTGCAAGTCAGCTTTAGTACTATGCCTGTTCTCTTGTAATCACTTGCCCTGGGGGTGAGTCGAAGAAATGCAGGATGACGAGTACTTCGGGGCATGGCAGCACGTGCTCCACGAAGTTTGCCCAACAAAAAGATCCGTGTTTGCGAAGAGTTGGATCTAGCACGCCATGCCACTGAATTTGCACAACTGCGACCTGCTGACTCAGGTGGGCTGCTTGCATACTTAAAGCAGGTGTTTGGGGCTTGGCGCTATAAGCGTGTAAGCAGGCAGCCGACTTCAGTCAGTAATTATCCTTCGCACAGCTCAAAAGTTTCCAGTCCAAAATGGCTGGATGTGTTGTGTTGTGTGTTCGCCAAACTACCTGCAGCTTTGGCTCCGTATTGTAGATATACATCATGGCAGCAATAGCCACATGGGTGCCTCTGGGAGCGTCGAAGCTCCAGATGCCAATGAACTGAAGCGACTGTTCGACAAACATGACGTGACACATTCCGGAAAATTGGAACGTCAAGAGGTGCCAACCGCTGTGAGTTTGTTGACGGCCACGGGCGGCAAGACCTTGAGAGTCACGACTGGATGGATCAAATCCCAAGGGGCAAAATGTTGGGTTTGTGGTGTTGAATGGTGTTGAAGTGGGCCAGGACTTGTTCAGAAGTGGTGGATGGTGGGGGGCCAGCCATCTTCAATCGCGACTATGCAGCCCTGCAGTTTCTGGAGTAGCGGGACAAACAACGGTATCGGCAGATGAGAGTTGTTCGTAGGACAGGGCCCCGATGTCACTCCAGGCCAGAAATGTGTTGCAGTGAACGGAAGGCCTATGCCCTCATTGAAGACCTTCGGCTGCGCTATGGAATGCCAGGAACTTTATATATAAGCCGCTCAGCGGCCAGGTGTCAAGAACAAAGGATGTAGTCTGGTTACATTTGGATTTACTGGATGAGTTTGAGTTCAATGTACTTTGCACTTTCTGCTGTTTCTCAGCCTCTTGCCAGCTCGGATTTGATGTTGTAACAAACTGAACAGATAGAGAGAGGGAGAGAGAAGCAGGTCACTATCGTTCACTTTCGAGCATCTCCTTGCATCCTGAAACTCAGGGATGAAGAGCTTCCGGACTCTTTCAAAGACGCAGTTTTCAAAGACGGGTTGGGTGGGAATTTCAATCAGCTTGCAATAGGCAGCGCTTAGCTTGGATTGGCTGTTTGGATGGCAGCCTGGCAGGAATTTGACAAGGACAATGCAGAAACCTGGAGCTGGCGAAGTGCTCAGCCGAATTGTTTGAATGTTTTTTCCACACCTGTCAGGTGAGGGTTGTTGGATTTTATGTCAGCCCCATCTCCTCCTCCTCCGCCTCCTTCTTCTCCACCTCGTCCTCCTCCGCCGGACCTCGACCACGACCGTGTTCCCTGCCGGACCTCAACCACGACCATTCACGCCCAGTGTTCCCTGCCGGACCCCAACACACAATTACAACAAACACACAACCAGAAACGCACAACCACAAACACAACCAGAAACACACAATCGCAAACACACAACCACAAACACATAACCACAAACGCAACAACAAACACACAACCACAAACACAACAACAAACGCAACAACAAACACACAACTACAAACACAACCAGAAACACACAATCACAAACACAATCACCACCACAACCACAACAAACAACCGCAAACACAACCACGCAAACACACAACCACAAACAATCACAAACACACAACCACAAACACACAACCACAAACACAACACCACAAGCACAACCACAAACACACAACCACAAACACAACACCACAAACACACAAACACGCAACACAAACACACAACAACAAACACACAACAACAAACACATAACCACAAACACACAAACACAACCACAAACACAACCACAAACATAACAACAAACACAACCACAAACACAACCACAAACACACAGCCACAACCACAACCACAGCACACAACCACAACCACAGCACACAACCCGAGGACCTACAAGCAAAATCGAGAACTACAATACCCACGACCATGGCGACGTGCTCCTCACTATGGCATCAAGACAAATGATTGAATTGCCATGGTGGGGATCACTCGATTTAAAGTATTTCACCAGTCATGACGCTGTGCTAGGGATTGGAGGGATTTGTGCTTTTGTCTTAATGGACAGGATTGGGGTAGGAGGCTTTAGGAGTATACGCCCTGTTCTGCAGGCGGGTTTTAATGCAAAAAGTTCTTGCTCCCATACTAGACCTACTTGTAGTCGAAGGGTGCGGTGTGACAGGGGCGTAACATAGAATGACAGACTGTTTTATCCTTTGCTGGTGCACTGCATGACCCAGGGTGCTGCTAGATGCACTCAGTGTCCTGCTGGGCACCCGGCCAAGTATGTAGTCACACCAGTGTCCGGTCAACGCCAGAGCGGAGGTGCTAAATCCCAAAAATTGCCGCGCACCTTCAAAGGGGGCAGCCTTAGGAATTAAATTGAGGGGGGGTACTGAGTTTCAAATTAATTGCCATCAATTAATTGCCGACATTGCCGACATAGGATGTTGGGGGGGGACCCCAAAATTTGTCGGCATGAGGAAATGCATGGTCTGACAGCAGAGAGGTAACACTCCCCACCAAAAAATAGTAAATGTCAATTAATTGTGAGTGGGCGGGGAGGGAAAATGAATATTTGGAAGAAGGTGGAGAGGTAAGGTACCTATGACATGAATTAATTTTATGGATGGTAAAACAAATGAAGAGAAGAGTTGATGGTGGAGAAGATGAAAGAAATAGTGGGAAACAATTGGAAAACATTAAAAACATTAAAAGATCTAAAGAGCTTAGTGTGGAAACCAGAATTTGGAAGAGAAGGGGTAGGACACTAATACTAAGATATACTAAGGATACTTTTATTGGATTGTATTATATTGGTAGATATGGGGAGTGGTGAGATGAAAAGGGGAAGAGGTGGTTGCTGGCTGGGGGACGGGCCAGCCTTTGGGTATTAAATTGTGTGGTGGCAGAGGACCCCCCCCACCCCCAATTAATCGTCAGACCCTGGGAATTCTCAAGGTTTTTGTGTTCTGGTGGCTAGGCTAGCCTTATGGGTATTAAATTATGTGGTGGTAGAGAACTCCACCCACCCCCAATTAACTACAAGACCCTTGGAATTCTCATGGTTTTGGATGGTTTTGGTGTTGCTCACCAGAAAACACTAAAAAGATCTAAAAAGCTTAGTGTGGATGCCAGAATTTGGAAGAGACGGGGTAGGACATGAATACTAGATATACCGAGGGAGGTGATTGCTGGCTGGGGGGATGGGTATTAAATTGTGTGGTGGTAGAGGACTCCCCCCACCACCAATTTACTGTCAGACCCTGGGAATTCTCAGGGTTTTAGTGTTCTGGCGGCTAAGGTATATATTTTGGATATATTTACAAGCAGTTCCCGGGCCAGCCGGCGGCGGAAGTTCCCTAAAAGAACAAATTGACCTATAGGAGTGTTCCGGTTCTCTCAAACACGCGCGTCCCCCAGTCAAACACACGCGCTCCGGACTTTTGATCAACACAGCGCCACCTGCGCAAGGTCTGTGCTTCCTGCAGGATCAGCAGCTCACAACAGCGTACTGGGTTGTGTCAGTTGTGTCTATGGCAAAGCAAGATCAGCAGCCCACACCGGCGTGCTGAAGCAACTGGGCAGTTGCAATTTGTTGTACTAAAGTTGTACTACAACGTCGCCAGTTCTCAGCTTTCAGCTCTACAGATTGCTCCGCGTACTAAAGTTGCACTAGAAAGTCGCCAGTTCTCAGCTTCCAGCTCTACAGATTGCTCCG